AGCCTGCGGACAGCGATGACTTCCTCCGAGAAAGTCTGTTCCTGGTTTCGGGTGCACACCACTCTCCCTCTCCGTCTCTTCACATGATACAAAGTATTAGATTCTTCTTCATTTGAGGAAGTTGTGACGCTCAGGTTACAAGTAGCAACATTTCGGTGGAAAGTCCTGAACATTGTAGGACAACCCCCATCATTCATCATGTGGGGGGGGATTCTGTCCATGCTCTGTCTTTTCCCGGGAGTTTCCAAGCAGACTTGGCACGGCTGAACCCCTCCCCCCCCCACTCCTCGATGGAAGACACCGAAAGTCCCCTCGTCTCGATTTCTGCTGGGGAAGCAGAAGTGGCGCCAAGCCTGAGAGTGACCTGTGAGCACAGCGTGCCTGACTGTGTATTGTGCAATCCCGTCCTCTGTGTTTGGGTCGGGGTTAGATTCAAATCCTCTTGGGGGGTAGGGGGGTTCTGGGGGTGCGTGCGTGTGTGAATTCCCAATCTGGACTAGATTTAGAACAAACATGATTCTTGTTCATGGGAAAAGCAGCCACGCCGACGTGTGGAGGTAACTGAACCGTACACCGGGAGTGTGGGAAGTGTACACAACTCGCGGCTTAAAGGAACAATCCGCTGAAACCTGAACGCCGTGCCTTTAAATTGAACCCGTCAGCCACTTTCAGCGTTTAAAAGTCCTGCCTTAAAGGAACACTCCGTCTTATATACTTAGGGGTAGGCAAACCCCAGCCATCCAGCTGTGGGGCAACTACAAGTCGCATGCGGCATTGCAAGACTGGCAGTAAGGGGAATGGCTCCCTAGAGGCAGATCCATAACGGGATTTGTAGTTTCACCACAGCTGGAGGGCTGGGGTTTGCCTACCCCGTGTTGCACCCATCATGGGGCATGGTGTCATTTCCAGCCCCTGATGCCTGAAACTGTCCCCACCACCCTTACCTGAATAGCAGGGTGCCTTTCCCTGTAGGCGTTAATTTAGCTATCCTTGGCTCCACCCACAGTGGCGTCACTCCTCCAAAGATCCATTAATTGATAAAAAGACTACAAGTCCCATCTGCCACCACAGCACTGGGACTAATAGCGCTCATTGGGCTTAGTGATGTTACCACACTTGTTATTGTCCTCCAGCTCCGTAGCTTGGTGCGGACAGAGGCTGAAGGAATAGTCTGCGAGAGCCTGAGCATTGCACCCCGGATCAGCAGAGCGCCTCCTGGTATGCAAGTGTGCCTAGGCACTCCAGCTGCATCGCTTTATATCTGCAGCGTGAGATCTGCGGCACTGCTGCCTTCTTAAGATCTGATGATGTCATTACCGTGCTGCTCACTGTTCTCCTTGCTGGAGAAAGTAATGCCCTCCCTCTACCAAGATGGCCACCACGCATTAAGCTTGAATGACGAAATGTAGTGGGGCTGCCCCTATGGCACTGCACGGGTTAACTGCTCACTTTGGTCTAGGGGGTGGGCAACCCCGTCCCTCCAGCTGTTGTAGAACTACAACTCCCATGAGGTACTGACCGTTAAAGGCATGACTGGAATTAGAGGCATGTTGGGATTCAATGGCGTTACACGGGGGGTGCGGCCCGCACTCGGGTGACTCCATTGGAGGGGTGTCATCCCCTCTGAAAAGTCGGGCACTCGTCATGGACCGAGTGACCGACAGTTTCGGGAGAGAGGGGGGGACCCGGCGGCATTCCTTATCCCGCCGGGTGAACATCCCATCCTGTCTCTGCCGGCGTCCATCACCAACACCAAAATGAGCAGTTAACCCGTGCAGTGCCATAGTGGTGGCCCCCACTACAATTCATCAATCAAGCCTTGGGCAGCATTTCTAAAAGCTCCACCTGCCTTTTGGGTGCAGTGCGCAATGTAACCAGTAGGTGTCGCTGTCCCCATTATTGCCCCTGGCTGCTCCTCAATACAATGCCGTGTCCCCGAAGCATGTTTGTTCTTCTTATGTAAGCAGCAGCATTTGTTTCCCTGTGTATATTATATTCTCATTGTCTCCCTCAAGGGAACAAAACATTCCGGGGCGAGCGCCAAAGAACACAATAAAAATAGCGACAGTGCGACTGTAGCCGGTTTGTACGTCTTGTCACATTTTAGCCCTTTTTGATGCGAGTTGTGCCGCCTCCTCTCCTGGACTGGTTTCCTCTGATATCACTGCACACTGTCAGCTTCTCACTATGTGCATTAGAAGCTGCAGCAAATAAGATAGAGACCATCTTATTACCTTGCATCATCTAGCTCTTTCTTCCCAAGCCTGACCCTGGGCCCGCCCCGTTCATTCATTGGATTACAGTTCTTTCATTGATTGAGGCTCGGCATCACATTTGGGCTACCTAGGGCGGTCTTCATGCAAATACAACCTGCCTAGGAAGGCCCACTCCTCCAGCCCATCAAGACCGTTTTACATTTGCATAACTCCTCCTCCAAGACCCAGCCCACTGCTTGCTCAGCATCACATGTGGGCGTTACCTGGGGCGGTCTACATGTAAATACAACCTGCCTAGGAACGCCCGCTCCTCCAGCCCATCAAGACCGTTTTATATTTGCATAACTCCTCCTCCAAGAGCCAACTCACTGCTTGCTTAGCGTCACATGTTGGCGTTACTTGGGGTGGTCTTCATGCAAATGCAACCTGGCTAGGAACGCCCGCTCCTCCAGCCCATCAAGACCGTTTTACATTTGCATAACTCCTCCTCCAAGAGCCAGCCCGCTGCTTGCTCAGCATCACATGCAAGACAGGGCAGTGCTGTGTAAATCTCAGGACTGGACGGACAGTCCTGCTTCAGCAGGTATATGTAGTTGTGGTTGCCGTCATGTGACTACAATCCTTGTAATACATTTGCAATCATGTTGCCAGTGAAGTCCTGGAGGGACGTTTGTTTCTAATAGGCTTGTTTGTCTTCTCTCGGCAGGTAACCCATGGTGGTCGGAGGCCCGGGGACACTCCTGGGGCAGCCAGAGCTTCCCCTTCATCTGGAGTCAGCCAATCGCAAAGCCAAAGCCATGTCCCCCGAAAGGAAGGAAGAGAGCATGTGGGAGCCCCCAACGGCGGAGGAGGTGGAAGGGGACTCGACGTCTTCCGAGGGAGGGAGGGTGACCGACAGCACAGACGACGAAGAGACCAGCAGCACAGAGAGCGCTCAGGTGAGTGGGAGCATCGGTACTAGATACAATGATGAGAGAGGAGTGAGTGACGCATTTATTTATCCAGGTAGGGGTCCCCTTTAAGGTTCCTACAGTGACGGAACGCATGTCAATGCAACATATGCTGCCCCAATTCTATTATGGTCATGGGACCTCCCGGTGGGAATGGCTGCCCTGTACGGTGACAGAGGGGCAGGAATATAGGTGGACCTACAGGACAGAGAGCTCAGGATAAGCTAGGATAGTTGGCACTGTGGCGATGTCCTCAATGGAGGGGGCGGGGCAGTGACACCACCGTGTCTGCAGCATTCAATCTCTCAAAACGTTGGTCACCCTCACTGACTGTACTGCCATATAGCACAGCAGAGGTCGGTGGACGTCACGTATATGTGTATTCATTTCAGCAGCTTAAACAGTTCTTATTGATGTGTTCCAACTGTTGGGGGGGTTGTCCTCGAAGTGACCGATGTCCTGCCGTCCTCTCACATTTATCCCTCTCGGAAAGCGGAAACGGAGTGCTCATTCATCTTGCTTCAAACAATCCGTCCTAAATACTGATGAGGAATAATTATTCGCTCTTCACATTGTAGAGCCCTTCCGGCAGATTAACCCTTTTGAAGCCACGAACGCGGCGCACGCGGCGTATAAACCCGGGCGGACTTGAGCAGACATCTGATCCGCTCAGGAGTTAAATGTAAGAATAATAGGAGATCGCTGAGGGCCGAGGACAGGAAGTTTCCCACAAGTGGATGTGTGACGGAAAAAAAGAGGAACCAGCGTCGTGGTACAGAACATCGCTTTGTGGTGGGAGCCGCACGCGGAGGAGAGGGGGGGAGTGAAGAAAATCTTCCCAATGGAAACGCCTGATGGGGAACTCTGACAATTTTGTATTCCCCTGGTGCCCAACCTGCCACCTTTTGACACTTAGGGGCCCCTGCAGACTGTAGTCTGTGTTTCGGTACTTATTCAAGGATAGGGGTTATAATCTCCCCTTAGCCTAATGGGTAGAGGCTGCGCTGGGGGTTTTAGCTGTGACACAAAAAAGAAAGAAACATATATACACTATATTGTATTGCCAAGTATTGGGACGCCGGCCTTTACACGCACATGAACTTTAATGGGATCCCAGTCTTAGTCCATAGGGTTCAATATTGAGTTGGCTCCGCCCTTTGCCGCTACAACAGCTTCAACTCTTCTGGGAAGGCGTCCACAAGGTTTAGGAGTGTGTCTATGGGAATGTTGGACCATTTGTGAGGTCTGGTACTGATGTTGGAGGAGAAGGCCAAAAGGAAATGTCACGGAACACACTAGAATCCAATGATTTGGAGGGGTGTCCCAATACTTTTGGTAATATAGTGTATCTCTTTGCTGTTTTTTTATTGCAGCGATGGGCGTCATCATACAAATATTATATAGGTAGGATGTTGCAGGACTCCTTTTGAAAGATTTTGGCAAAAACCCTCGAATAGTCTCTACAGAGTCTGAACTGAGGTTTGTTAAAACCCTTGTGTGCAGGCGGCCCGGAGAGGCTTTCATTTTCCATCACACATTTGGTGGTTTGATTTAAGGTTTCCTCTGCAATTGGCAAACCCCCAAGGAGGGTACGCCGTGCGGGTACAAAGTACAACATCAGAATGCATGGCATGCTTCAGCTGAACGTTCGAGAGGAGGATTAAACCGGGAGATGTCTCTCTTAGGAACGCTAAGCACTGTTTGCATCTAAAACATGACATAATACTCTTTCTAGTTTTTGAAAGCTATCCCTGAAAAACCCCACAAAAAAAATCTAAAAACCTATAAATTTAGGGAGCTTACCCATAGGGAATAGTTATTTTTGGCCTTTTTTTTGCATCAGTTGCTCCATGTATGGGTTTATCTAGAGTTTCAAAGCTGTAAGATATCTGCTCCTCTTTTGACTGTTCTCACCCCAGGTGGTTGCTGTATCGTTGTGTCTGGAGGATGCCTAAGTGAATATCAGGCCTCCCAGGGGATATTATGCTTTGGAAACCAACCAGAAGATCAGCTGATATAGATAAATGTACCCATTCACCGGGGGGGTCTTGTTCATCTTTGGTTAGGATAGACGCTCATATGTGTCACATTTGATCATGACTATGAAGATCAAACCTATAGATGATTTTGATCAGACAAAATTTGGGTTTGTAAATTTACTGCGTGGAACGTGTAGAAATTTCAAATTTTCTTCCTGTGTGTGGCCTTTACTTGCCCACATCCACAAGTGCTAGCTAAACAGGTCTTGAAGGCAACCCATTGGCAACCCATTAGCCCATGTATGGGCTTGTCTAGATCAATCAAAATTGACAGATATCTGCTCAGATATTGATAAGGCCATTTGCTCATGATTGTGAAGGTCAAACCTATAGATGATCCAGATGAGAAGATGTGTGGGTTGGACAACTTTCCTGCTTGGAATATAAGGAATTTCAATTTTGTGAGGCCTCTCCACCTCTGTAAGTGCTAGTTGAGCAGGTCATTCGGCAACCCATCAACCATTGCTCACTTGTTTTTCAGGTGTAATCTCCAGAGTATGGGCTTGTCTAGACAGATATCTGCTCAGATATTGATAATTCTACTTGGCCAGCTTGGAGTTCACATCTGTAGCACCCTTTGTCTACAGATGATGGACCTTTTGAATTGGCCAGTTCACTACAAATTACCACCTCCATAAGTGCTAGCTGAGTAGTTCTTGAAGGCAACTCATCAGCCAATAGGGTATCATCTCTAGAGTTGACCCATGTATGGGTCTAGACTTTCAAAGCTGATCGATATCTGCTCAGATATTGATTATCCTATTTGCTAGCTGAACAGATCTTGATGGCAACCCATTAGCCATTGCTCACTTGTTTTTAGGGTGTAAGCTCCAGGGTTGACCCATGTATGGGCTTGTCTAGACTTTCAAAGCTGACAGATATCTGCTCAGATCTTGAAGGCCATCAGCCATTGCTCACTTGCTTTTTAAGGTGTACTCTCCAGAGCTGTCAACCATCTCTCACATTGAACCACGAGCTGTCATCACTGGGATGTGTGCAACAGACAGACAGCAATAAAAAGCCCATAGGGGTAGCTGAGCAAGTAGAAAAGCACAATTGCTTGTAATTATCTTATTGTGTGCTGTGATGCCTGTAGATCTACCTGAAGGTCTGCCGTTGGCTTCGGCTTTCTGTGTGTCCTATTCCCTCCCCCCTCTCAATAAATGTCACGCATGTGTCATATGACTGCGCATTTTTTTATTGTCTGGATCGCTGTAAATTTGACAAGACGAGACGGCTATTTAAAAAAAAAAAAACCCCTCCCAAATCCCAGTGTTACCGGCTGCCAAAATAGATTGTAAAAATAATTACAGGTGTGAGTCTTGGGACAGAAAAGGAGGCGTTGATGAGATCAGCGTTACTCCCTACACACCTCTCCGGGCCATTACAAAAAACCATTGCTCATTTAAAGTGTCCCTGTCTAGTCCCAAACTAGACTCCACATAAGTATGACCCGGATCTTCCACTGCTTAAATACGCATGATTGTTTCAGCCAAGACCATGCAATGTCCGTAGTGCTGGTCTTTTGTCGTAACAATGGGGACCCCCCCCCTCGGAATGTCCACTTTGGACTGTCACCCTTTTTTACCCACTTTCTCATTGCTGTTCAATGTTTTTATTGCTGGTATATGAAGTGTTTCTCTAGGCAAAATGTTTTCTTTTGGATAGAGTGACCATTGTATTGGTAGAGCCATAGAGTGGCCATTGTATTGGTAGAGCCATAGAGTAGCCAGTGTATTGGTAGAGCCATAGAGTGGCCATTGTATTGGTAGCCAGTGTATTGGTAGAGCCATAGAGTGGGCATTGTATTGGTAGAGCCATAGAGTAGCCAGTGTATTGGTAGAGCCATAGAGTGGCCATTGTATTGGTAGAGCCATAGAGTGGCCAGTGTATTGGTAGAGCTATAGAGTAGCCAGTGTATTGGTAGAGCCATAGAGTGGCCAGTGTATTGGTAGAGCCATAGAGTGGCCAGTGTATTGGTAGAGCTATAGAGTAGCCAGTGTATTGGTAGAGCCATAGAGTGACCAGTGTATTGGTAGAGCCATAGAGTGACCAGTGTATTGGTAGAGCCATAGAGTGGCCAGTGTATTGGTAGAGCCATAGCGTGGCCATTGTATTGGTAAAGCCATAGCGTGGCCAGTGTATTGGTAGAGCCATAGGGTGGCCAGTGTATTGGTAGCCATTGTATTGGTGAGGAAGGGAAAAAAATGGGGCCTGTAATCAGAATTGTGTAGGCAGCTCTCTGCCAACCAGGTTATCCTTGGGGGTTCCCTGGAGTAGTAGCAGTTTTGCCCCCCTTGCGTATATTTTTCCTACACTTCTTGCCCAAGAGAGCCAAGAACTGCCAAATCAACTGCTGAGGAGCTCCATGCATTCCCACACACTGAACAACACGGTATCCAATCTCAAGCCATCACAGTCCTGATACATGTTCTCCCTTAGTAAGCCATCACAGTCCTAATAGATGTTCCCCCTTAGTAGGCCATCACATTCCTGATACATGTTCCCTCTTAGTAAGCCATCACAGCCCTGATACATGTTCCCTCTTAGTAAGCCATCAAAGTCCTGATACATGTTCTCCCTTAGTAGGCCATCACAGCCCTGATACATGTTCCCTCTTAGTAAGCCATCACAGTCCTGATACATGTTCTTCCTTAGTAAGCCATCACAGTCCTGATGTATGATCTCCCTAAGTAAGCCATCACAGTCCTGATACATGATCTCCCTAAGTAAGCCATCACAGTCCTGATGCATGATCTCCCTTAGTAAGCCATCACAGTCCTGATGTATGATCTCCCTAAGTAAGCCATCACAGTCCTGATGTATGATCTCCCTAAGTAAGCCATCACAGTCCTGATACATGTTCTTCCTTAGTAAGCCCTGATGAAGGGGGATCTGCATGAGCCCCCAAAATGCATTGGATATCCCTAAACTGTCCCTTCATCTTTATATAAATAGAGTATCTGAGCTCTTAAATGGAGCGTGGTGCTTCAATTCACAATCCTGCAAGAGAAACAATAGGAAGTCCACTCCCATTCTGGATTAACCATCACTTAGGTCTCCTGGTGGCACATGTAGAGGGTGAATCTTCTCAGTGGGAACCTAGACAGTGGCTTGTCTTGCCTAGTGCCCTTCTCCTGCCAATACTCGCCTAGCTGGTTGCGCCGGGCACCTTGTACATCACGCCGCACCCTTTAACCCTTCACGCGGGGTGACTGTGTCTCCGATTGCGTCGCATCCCTTTCATTAGGCTTTACAATCTCTTTGCATGCAATAATAATTTCATTTGTTGTTTTATTAATGTGCTTGCTGGATCATGTCTGTAGTTTATTGTTGCTGTTCCAGGAAATCCCATTGTATTACACTTCGCTGGCTCCGCAATGGGGCAACCATTGCAACTGTACAACTGTGCAAGACTGAAGGGACGGCTGGAGTTCAGCTTTAACCCTTCCCTGTTTGCTCCAGCTCATGACGGTTCTGGAATTTGCACCTTCAAACACAAGTCAGCCGCATCCTGTTCCATATTTGCATCCTAGCAGGTTCCTTATGGACTAAATGGATACGATAGGTCTGAGCATGCTGGGACTTATAGTTCTATAAGAGGTCTGAGTTGTTTTTGGTGGGTGTCATCTTTCGTAGAGCAGAGTTGGGTTTCCCGTAATAAGAACTGACATCATACTTGCTGCTGGACGTCTGCCCTAAAGTTTCTTCACCCTGCCTGAGTTGGAGGCTTGCGTTGTCCAAGATTTCCCGCTAGACCCCCCCCACCTCTCCCCCGCCGCTGAGTCACAATCCAGCGTGACAATAGATGATCAGCAGCACCCCGGTGACAGTGATTTCGAGGACATTGGACATGGTGATCGTCACTTGCGCTCTCCAGCTTGTCAGCGCCACTTGTGTGCTAGAACATGGACACCAGTCACGTATTGACTTTTATTACCCTGCGTCATATCATGATAGGGCGCTACAGAGTGCACCGTATCAGTACATTGCAGACACTCGGCCGATTGACCCTTTATGAACTGGCAGCGCTTATCACTCAAGACCAATCCACGACAAGAGTAACGTCAAAGTGTGAACTGGTCATACTGTGCAGGAAACAATCACCCAGACACTATAACACATAGGTATTGTATCCCATAATAATCAACATTATAAAGTGTATTTCCACCTCTGCAGCCAAATTTGAGAAACCTCCCCACACTATATGTTTATGGGGTTCAATTATATAAGCTCAGCACGGCACTGGCGCCCTTAGATGGCACTGATGAGTATTGGAATTGCCTGCACTCATCAGCGCCATCTAGGGGGCGCTAGTGCCATAGAACAGCATAGCCTGGTGGAACTTTTTTTTACATGAACCGCAATCACACAGCATAGCTTGTGTGTGTGAGTGTGTTTGTATGTGTGTATGTATATATATATATATATATATATATATATGTATGTGTATGTAAGCTGTCACTGCCGTTGCCGGTCCCGAGATCCGCAGTGCCCGGTGCGGCTGGGACCGGCATGGCTGCTCTGTGACAGGAGATGATAGGGAGATCGGTACACAATCTCCCTCTGATCTCCTCTCCAGTCCCCGAATGCAGGAAGTGACGCATATTACATCACTTCCTGCATTCTGCTGTCACTCTCCGGTTACAGAAACTGGGGAGAAGCTGGTGAAGCAGATCTCTCTGGGGGTCCCTAGGTGACATTACGGGTCTTGGAGACCCCTAATGTCTCCATCAAGAGGACCTGTCATGCAAATTGGCTATCACATGGGGGGATTTTTATCCCCCTATGTGATAGCAATTAAAAAAAAAGAGTAATACAAAAATTAAAGAAGAATAAAATGTTTTTTTTTTTTTAAAGTCCCCGCCACCCAGATACACACGCAAACATGCGTCCGGTGCGCCTACATGCGAAAACGACGATTCCGCCTATTGTGCCGCACATGCTGAGGTGTAGAGATACAGATCTTGTGATGAGCGGGTGTAAGCTGGGCTTTGTACATGACGTCTTCTCTGTCCCCCCAGCAGCACGCGGAGGCGGCGGGCACGCAGGTCGAGCGGCGGCTGGAGGTCGAGCAGATGAAAGTCATGGGCAGGATCTCTCAGCTGGAACAGGACATCCGAGAGCTGCAGCTGCAGAGACGGGAGCTGAAGATCGAGGTAACCCTCGAGGGGACACGCAGGAAAGGGTTAACCTCACTGTTCAGGTTGTCAGCCCTGAAAATAAAATATGGGACAGCAAAGGCCGAGGACAAGTGTCTGGGATCTGCAGCAACTGTGGACACAATGTGATCTTAAAGTGGAAGTTTAATCTGCTTATGTTTTGCCTTCCCTGGTACCTCCCCTCCCCCCCTCATCAACAGGATAATGGCCATTAAATCAAATCTTTCCATTGCATTATATACTTTATTTTATAGCCAGTGACATCATCACTGGGTCTCTCTGCTCCTCTATGCAATGCAGACAGATCATGGCTGGTGGGAGGGGCTGGCAGGGTGCTGTACATAGCTTCCTGATGACATCGCAGCAGCCTGCCTCAGTACTTCTCTTAAGAGCCCTCAGTCCTGATGCAATCAGTGGGCTGGCTCTTGATAGGAGTTATGCAAATATTAAAATGTCTTGATGGGTAGTTGTCAGTCTGGAGGAGTGGGCGTTCTTAGGTGGTAGTAATTTGCATGCAGGCCGTCCTAGGTAACGCCCACATGTAATGCATGATTGAACTGAAATGCAATGAATGAAAGGGGCGGAGCCTGGGACAGGGAGGTATGACTAAATGATGTCGGACGTCCTCCAGCCAGGAATAAGGCAGGCTCTATTTGATCCAATAAATGAAAGGGGCGGGCCAGGGACAGTCAGGCTGGGTAGGAAAGAGTTGGATGATGCCGGACGTCCTTTAGGTAGGAAATAAGTTGGGCTCTGTCTGACCCAATGAATAAAAGGGGCGGGCCAGGTACAGTCAGGCTGGGGATTAATGGCCTAGATGATGCCGGACGTCCTCCAGCCATGAAATGAGGCGGGCCCTATCTGACTTGCTGCAGCTTCTAATGCACACTGTGAGACGTTCAGTTATGGGAGCTTTACAGAACTTCCAGGCAAATCCAACCCAACCCAGGTCAGTTCGCCCATCACAGTGGCAGCTTCCATCTGAGGCTTCTCACACAGGTAATTTGTAGTGAATTCCCTACAAACCTGCTACGAGGGTTACAGGGCTGCCATGCTGCGTCATCGTGGGATGTCACAAGGGAAGCAGAGAAAACAAACCTGAAACAAAATAAACAGGATCTCCGGAGAAAACAAAGCAGAAGCATCGAATCTCATGTGTAGCCGCAGCGAGCACCGGGGTGAGCGAGACTTCTATTATTCGGCTGTCTTCTATCCTGCCGGGTCGTCCTCATCGCTTCTTCACTATCTAAAGCCCATCTCTCTTTTTTTCTAGTCTGGGAGGGACAGGGAACCATTTCAGGCTTTTATTTGCTAGCTGTGTCCCCACCAGGGAGATTTACACTCGCTTCCTGTTATGGTGACCACAACAGGATGCTCACCAAACACTTCTGCAAACCTGGTTATTTCCTTGTTAGAGCAGCCGTGATATCCTCGCTGTGCTGCACGTAGCCTGTGCACAGAGCAGAGCTGTGGGAGGGGCCCAGTAGACCCCACCCACTATAGGAAACTACAGGAGGGGCCGTAGACAAGACCAAGGACAAGGAGAGTGAGCAGCAGTGACTGGTCTTTTATTACAGGAAGGGGAGGAGACAAGACCAGTCGCCCTGCACAAGTAGAGAGAGCAGGAGGGGGCGGAGGCAAGACCAGTCACCCTGCACAAGGAGAGAGAGCGTCAGTGACCGGTCTTTATTACAGGAGGGGGCGGAGGCAAGACCAGTCACCCTGCACAAGGAGAGAGAGCGTCAGTGACCGGTCTTTATTACAGGAGGGTGTGGAGACAAGACCAGTCACCCTGCACAAGGAGAGAGAGCGTCAGTGACCGGTCTTTATTACAGGAGGGGGCGGAGGCAAGACCAGTCACCCTGCACAAGGAGAGAGAGCGTCAGTGACCGGTCTTTATTACAGGAGGGGGCGGAGGCAAGACCAGTCACCCTGCACAAGGAGAGAGAGCGTCAGTGACCGTTCTTTATTACAGGTGGGGGCGGAGACAAGACCACTCACCCTCTATCTATAGATATATATATATATATAATGGGGCGGGTGAGGGGATGGCGATAGTATAGATATACTTCTGATGTGATAGAATCCAAATGATTGTCCTGTTTGTTAGTCTCATGGCCGATATTCCCAGACTGCAGTGCCATCCCTTCCCTCCTTCAGTTTCGAGTTCCTCCCCCCACCCACGCTGTGGCGAGCGGTCTCAAAATTCTGGTTTGTCAAGCAGCGAAGGTGTGACGCACAGCAGCTGGCATAGGGAATACATTGTGACACGTGCGGGATTGATCATGAGGAAAAGTAAAAAAAAAATAATCTCAAAACCCAACGCAGTACATTGTAATGGTATTGTAGAAAATATATACGTGGTGTGTGTGTGTATGTATATACACACATGTATATACACACACACACACACACACACACACACACACACACACACACACACACACACACACACACACACACACACACACACACACACA